ACACACACACACACACACACACACACACACACACACACACACACACACACACACACACACATACTTTGGCAGGGCTGGATGTTCTGCCTCCTCGCTCACTAAAACACACAGAACATGTCAGAGGCTCTTAACTTATTTAACAGGTTATCGCTTACATGGATGATGGGAGGAAGTTGACTCCCTGCTAGAGTCAGACAGGACGAGGCTTTTATGTTCATGTGTGTTTTTGTCATGACGTAGCAGGCGCCGGGTCTGGTTTGGCAAGTTTTTCCTGAGGACAGGGTGAAAAAGAAGCCAGAAAGAGAAAGAAGCAGAGGGGCTTTTTCCTCCTTCGCTGCTCTCTCTCTCTCTCTCTCTCTCTCCATCTCTTAACGGACCTTCTCCTGTCGGCGTTGACAAATCGAGCTTCTGAGCGGCGCTTCAGCTCCAGGTAAGGTTCTGTCTCATTCAGTTTGTGTGATTTTATCTGCAGGACTGAAGGATAAACAGAAACTGTGGTCAGAAATGTAAACACTTCACACTGGATGAGCTACAGAAAACTGAAAGATTCACAGAAGTTGTTCAGAAAAGAAGAGAATCCAAAAGAAGAAAAAAAAAACAGAAAAGGAGAGAGGTTTCCTTGTTGCTGTGAGCAGGACAAACATTTTAGGAGAAATGGAGAGCGTGAGTCATCGTCCGGGGAAAAAAATGTGGTTTTGGGCTCATTGCAGAACCAGATGCTTGGTGGGGCCCACTTCTAAAGGGTTTTTAAATAATCTCYCAATGGAACATTCCTGACTTATCAGCTCTAATGAGACATTAAATAAAGTTTGACTCATTGAGTAAATGTAGCTTCCTGTAAACGACCACCTGGTCAGCGTTTGGACCGGGAGCTCAGACCTCTGAACTCTTCATCAGGACCTGTGAATCTGTTTCTGGGTAAAACCTTTCAGTGTCGGGATGAATCGTTCCGTTCTTCTAACGTGATCCATTTTTTCCTCTAAAATCTGCCAAAACAAGTCATCGATAAATCTCATGAATCTTCTGGGTTCTGGTTTAAAACAAATCAGATCAGATGAAAATGTTTGAATAAAACACGATGCAGGATTTAAATTCAGAACTAATAAAGTTTATTTTCATGTTAAAGATGCGATCATGTGATTCGGTTGTAGTTTTGTCTGAGTTTAGGAGGATTTAACAACAAAAACACGAGAATTTAGTTTCAGGATTCGACTTCCTGGTGTCGAGTTTCCACCTAAGAGGTTTAACTTCTCCTAATTGTTCATAGTATAAATACAAAAAATGTTCCTCTGCAGGTTTATCTAACAAGACCTCATGAATGACAAGAAAACCTTTTTTTCTTGTTGATTTGTTGTTTCAATCGTAGAACGTAGAACAAATCTTTTCTGATTACTCAAAACGTCAGCGTCCAATATTTGAAAGGCAAATCAGAMTTTCCTGGTATCCCTCCGCTCCACACCTCTTTTGTTTCAATATTCAACCTCTCAGAAGTTTGATATAAAAACTGCAGAAGGTCTGAAGTTCCTACTTTTCTACTTCCAAATGCACGAATCAATAAATCATTCTTTTTGTTGAATAAAGCAGAGCTTAGAGACATTTTATCTGCTTAGATTTTCTATTTGGCTACAGTAAACAGAATGTTTTAAACACTTTATTTTATATAAGATATAGTTTTACACCTTTTGGATTTTAACTCTGTGTTACAGATTCAGTTTTGTTCAACAGAAACTTATATTCTGTACTTTTTAATTAAGGAGACGACTCCAATGTGCAACATTTCATCTTTTATCATCTTATTTGGGAAATTCACATCATTCAATTATCTTGGATATATTATTTATTTATATACAATACTTAACACCCAAGCATACTGTCTATATTTTCATTTTATACTCTTTATAAGGTTTATTTATATCACCTAGACCAGTGGTTCCCAAACTTTTCAGCTTTTGACCTCCAAAATAAAAGCAACAGAGACCTGAGCCCCCAGCTGTTGTCAGGTGATGATAAACATTGTTTTCACATCAATTAAACAAGAGAGTAGTAACATTATTTATTACATTATTATTTATTAGATTATTTTTGTCCATTTTAAGTACACTAATCTTATTATTTTGTAACAACAAAGGCAAAATG